AAAAATTATTGTGACTAATAAAATTAAAATAATTTGAAGTAACTGAATATTAATAAATCACTTAGATCCAGACTGCTATAAATATTTGCATCAATTTTCAAGACAGGGTTAACTTTGTGTGGGAACCTCACTAACTCACCTAACTCACCCCTTGTTATTAGTTAGACTTTTTAGCTTTAGTTTTTAAGAAGTGATCATCCAAATTCTCATCTCGTAGAACCTTGCAATATTTGGATTCTTATGAAATCTATTTTAGATCTAAGCAACTAATTTCTGGACACCCCATATGATTGCGATCAACGTATATGAGAAGAACAAGCCCCCTGTGTAGATATAAGAATGGTAAACTGCAAATATTTAACCTATTAATATCGTTTTAAGTCTAATGATGCGTGACAATTGATGTTGTGACTTGGAATCTAGGAGTGTTTATAAATACAAGAAAATGTAAAGAGATAAACCTCGTGCTTCTCAATTTAACTTAGAGATGAGCACCATTTCGGTATTAACGATTAGTCACCAATTGCTCTAGGTTTAGACATTAATGCTTTTAAAAACATAAGAAACTGAATTCTTGCCAAAAATTCAAATTTTCAATTTCTATATTCTTTATTCCTATACCTGATGGTGTAAACCTTTCAAATTTAAACTGTTTGACCTAACAGAATAATTATAGTTTGAAAAATCAATAATCTCAAAATCGGTTTGTAAAAATAAAGGTATTAGAAAATTAGAGTTTGATGTGGCAAGAACTCAATTCCTTTGTATGATAAAGATCAGTTTTAAATACTGAATTTAGAAGTGTGAAAATCAAGTAAAAAATTAATCATAAAACTTGATCTTTAAGCGAAAATTTGGCAAATTATAAAAGTTTTATATTATTTCAATTTTATCTCTTAGTCTTAACACTCGTTATACATACTTCATTGTTGGAGACAACAAACTAAAATATCATTAAATCATACTTGGAGACAAATGTTTCATTCGCTGCAGGGGGACTTCGTGCCCCCCCCCCCAGGCTAGGGGGACATCGTGCAGGCCTTTCTCACCTGCAAACTAAACAGGTTTAGATTAACAGCCAAGGCTTTCAAAAATACTAAAAAATGTTTTTAATTTAAAGGGACTGTAAATGTAATTTAAAGAACCCTCTATAGACACAGTGACACACAAAAAAAACTTTTTAAAACTTTGTCTGACTAAGTAAAAACAAGATATCCAAGGTCCCTTGAAGAAGGTTCCTTGAAGAAGCTCCCTTGAAGAAGGTCCCTTGAAGAAGCTCCCTTGAAGAAGGTCTCTTGAAGAAGGTTCCTTGAAGAAGGTTCCTTGAAGAAGGTCCTTGAAGAAGGTTCCTTGAAGAAAGTTCCTTGAAGAAGGCTCCTTGAAGAAGGTTCCTTGAAGAAGGTTCCTTGATGAAGGATCCTTGAAGAAGGTTCCTTGAAGAAGGTTCCTTAAAGAAGGTTCCTTGAAGAAGGTTCCTTGAAGAAGGTTCCTTGAAGAAGGTTCCTTGAAGAAGGTTCCTTGAAGAAGGTTCCTTGAAGAAGGTTCCTTGAAGAAGGTTCTTTGAAGAAGGTTCCTTGAATTACGCTTGCAATTCCTTTAAACCCTAATAAACTGCAGAATATATATTACTTGAAAAAATGTTAAACTTTGCAAATTTCTAATCCTTAAAAGGTTTTTGCGAGGAATTTGTGCATGCCTAGTTGGGAAATGTTGTCTTGCAAGGAATTTCATTAGAAACCTGTCTTCCAATGAGCTAAATATTACAGTAGGGATGGGCTATATTTTTTTTTTAAATCTTCATAATTTTCCAAAACTGAAATGAAAAACGAAAAGGGATTTTAGAGGAAAGCTTAAACTGTCTCGAGAAATTGATAAAAAACTGTGTCAAAGGAATTGAGCCTTAGCCACAAACTCAAATTTTCGAATCCCTATTTCTTTACAATCTAACGGTGTAAACCTTTGATATTTCAAAGTTATAATATTTCGAAATATTTTAACTTTTATTTATTATTTCTCTTAAAAGTTTTGAGTACTGCAGCTAGGGTTGTTAATCGTTTTTTGGTTTTCTACAAACGATCGTTTCGTTTTTAGAAAAAAAACGATAGCTTTTGGGAACGAACCACTCGTTTTGAAATTTTAAATAAAAAACGAAAAACGAAAAAAGATAAGTTTGTGAATGTTGTCTTCAAAGGTTTTTTTTATCGAGAGAAATAACCTGAATGTTTTCTGAACCAAGGATTCAAGGATTCAAGTAATAAAAAATATATTTTGTCTTAAAAAGATCATTACCGATCGTTGACGATCATCAAAAATTTAAAACGACCTACTTTTGTTAATGAAACAACGAACGATCGTTAATATTTTTTTACAACTTTTAACTTGTTTATTTCTTTGCAAAAGTTAAACTCTAGTTCTTTACATTCAGATTGGTTGCGTATTTACTATTTGCTGAATTTGATCTGTTTAAACCTACGATTTTAGAAATGTTGTACATGTAAATTTTCGTATAAAGGAATTGAATCCTTGCCACAAATTCTGATTTTCTAATCCCTATATCTTTTGAACCCTATGTCGTAAACCTTTGATATTTCAAACTTATATTATTTGATCTAGCGGAAGTCATAGTTTGAAATGTCAAATGTCTACAACATTGGACTGCAAAGATATAGGAATTAGAAAATCAGAGTTTGTGACAAAGACTCAATTCCTTTGAAACAGTTTTATATCAATTTCTTGAGACATGATTATCCACTCCTAAAATGCTTAGGTTTCAGCCAATACACCCTTTCATTTTTCCTTTACAGTCCCTTTAATAGTTGTTAATCGTTTTTGGTTTTCTAAAAACGATCGTTTCATTTTTAGAAGAAAACGATAGTTTTTGGAAACTTTTAAATGAAAAACGAAAAACGAAAAAAAGATAAGTTTGTGAATGTTGTCTTCAAAGGTTTTTTTTATCGAGAGAAATAACCTGAATGTTTTCTGACCCAAGGAATTTCTGATTCAAGGATTCAAGGTATAAAAAATGTGTTTTGTTTAAAAAGATCATTACCGATCGTTAACGATCATCAAAAATTTAAAACGACCTACTTTTGTTAATGAAACAACGAACGATCGTTAATATTTTTTTACAACTTTTAACTTGTTTATTTCTTTTTATCCTTCCTTTTTCTTATAAATATATATATATATGTTAACTAAAGCTGGCTTAACGGCTGGACCAAATTGGCTGAATTATTTTGAAGGATTCCATCGGTACCCCGGAGATGACAAAAGTCGAAAATTCACTGGCAAAGCCAGGCTAAGGCCATGATTTAATACAATGCGCAGGTAACGGCAGGTGTAACTATGACTATAAAAAATAGTATAAACCTGGGCAACCCCGAGTACTTCAGCTAGTCACTGATAAATCCTTAAACATCTCGAGGATTACATTTTTAGAAATAGTTCAGCTAGCTGCAAATCAAAAAAATGCTTACCGTTTTAGTAAATTTGGAATATTGCAAATGTTTTTGCGTCGATGTTGCCTAGAAAAGATGAAAAATTTAAAATTTAGTAGCATCGCTATTTTGTAGACGTTTGACCAAGACTAACAGAATTTCTGGTCAAGCTATTGTTTCCAGCATGATGGATGTATTTAAACAAACTCTCTGAAGAATGGTTACAACCGCTACGAATTCCTTAAACGTTTAAAATACCATTAACCTCATTCTTTGGAAATAAAATCCATGTATTTACATACAAATATAATACTAAAAACATTTTGAATGTGCACAGATTTCAGTTTCAGGCAACTGCAGGTTATAGGGTATCCAAAAGAAAAGAAATAGATGAGGCATTGATTCCTGTTCCTATTTATATTCTGAATTTAAAAAGAAAAAAGAAAACTAATTTTGACCATTTCATCAGCAAGATGTCTTGATAGGGTTAAAATGCGTTGTGTAACCCAATGAAAAACAGTCGACTTAGGCACATGTAACTCCATGCAAACCCAAGTTACAGAAGAATTGCACACTGTTTAGGAATCTGAATTAGGCCTACATAATTGCATAAATGGTAGTAAACACCAAGAGGTCAGAAAGGGTCGTAAAAAGCGTTCAAAAATTGTTTTGCTATCCTATATTCAGACTTGCTCTTGTATACAATTTCAATAATGAAAAAAATAGAATGAAGCTAATTAAAGTTTGCGAATCTACTTTTTACAATTTTATGCTTAAAAGACACTTTTATTTTTTTAAATAACATTTAGCTTCCAACTTGTTTTCGAATATTCCTGGAAAATATAAAAATGTCGTCTTCATTACCAAAAATCCTCGAAACAGGAATAAATGTTTTTTTTAAGTAACTTATAGATCATAACAATTAAAACATATTATGAAAAATCAACTATGTACAAATGTGGCGAAAGATAATCGATGACCATAGGGTGTAATATCTGAATGATTTGTTTGAAATTAAATAGATTTTTTTACGGTCTAAGTCGTATGCTGCATCTTCCTGAATTTGTATGGATACTACGTTCTTTGGTATTAGTCGTTTTTAACAATTTTCTCCTTATAGACGCAACACATAGAAGTAAGATTAGAAGCGATCAAAAGCGCTTTTTTATCGAATTAACCCTATACCCCCTTTCATTTTTCGCGAACATTCCCTTTCAAGCCCCCTAAATCTTAAAGTCGTCTTCCTATTCTACAGTTGTATGGGTCTCCCTCTGCTTGAAATTTTAACATCATTATTTCTTAATAAAATGACATTTAAAATATTTATTTATTTGCGCCAATATTCTGAGTAGGACACATCGTCATTGTGCATAAATGCCACAAATCATGATGCTTCTCAGAACACAAAATTCTTCATTGTTAATTTTAGGCATACTTTTATTGTAAAATAATTAATGGAAATGATTATTTAGAAAAAAAATATATTCTAAGATTTATATTTCTTTAGTGTTTGAATAAAAAATTCTACCATTATATACCCATAAAGATATTATTTACACAAAATAAAGTGATGTAAAAGATTTATTTTTGCTATAAAATCTACAGTGTCACGTGATGAAACAGTTTCCATCTATTGTTCTCTCAGCGACAACTTTATCTATGGCGTCCCTAAAATATCTAAATTCAAAATTTAAACATTTATTTCTCGTCAAAGTTCTTAGTAGCTTCGAAAGAGAAGGACGAATTTATTTCAAATAGGTTGACGAAGTTAGAACCAGAAAACTGTTAAAGAAGAAAACATAAGTTTTGCTTTTTAAAGTCCAATAAACGTGAGGCATCGCAGTTATAGAGTTTGCAGACAGTCTATTTTACCTTACTTCATAAGAAGATTTTTAATTTATTTGCTTTGTAACATAAGATCCATTACAGATTGATGTAATGTCGTTTTCTTATTCCACAGTTTTTTGGTGGTTCTCACCAGGTGTAAATAGCTAAATATTCACCTAGAACAGGGTGACCAGGTGTGTATAGGTAAATATTCACCTAGAGCAGGGTGACCAGGTGTATATAGGTAAATATTTACCTACAGCAGGGTGACCAGGTGTATATAGGTAAATATTCACCTAGAGCAGGGTGACCAGGTGTATATAGCTAAATATTCACCTAGAGCAGGGTAACCAGGTGTATATAGGTAAATATTTACCTATAGCAAGGTGACCAGGTGTATATAGATGAATATTCACTTAGAGCAGTGTGACCAGGTGTATACAGATGAATATTTACCTACAGCAGGGTGACCAGGTGTATATGGATGAATATTCACCTAGAGCAGGGTAATCAGGTGTATATAGATGAATATTCACCTAGAACAGGGTGACGAGGTGTATACAGATGAATATTCACTTAGAGCAGGGTGACCAGGTATATATATAGATGAATATTTACCTAGAGCAGGGTGACCAGGTGTCCATAGATGAATATTTACCTAGAGCATGGAGACCAGGTGTATATAGATGAATATTCACCTAGAACAGGGTGACCAGGTGTGTATAGGTAAATATTCACCTAGAGCAGGGTGACCAGGTGTATATAGGTAAATATTTACCTACAGCAGGGTGACCAGGTGTATATAGGTAAATATTCACCTAGAGCAGGGTGACCAGGTGTATATAGCTAAATATTCACCTAGAGCAGGGTAACCAGGTGTATATAGGTAAATATTTACCTATAGCAAGGTGACCAGGTGTATATAGATGAATATTCACTTAGAGCAGTGTGACCAGGTGTATACAGATGAATATTTACCTACAGCAGGGTGACCAGGTGTATATGGATGAATATTCACCTAGAGCAGGGTGACCAGGTGTATATAGATGAATATTTACCTAGAGCAGGGTAACCAGGTGTATATAGATGAATATTCACCTAGAACAGGGTGACGAGGTGTATACAGATGAATATTCACTTAGAGCAGGGTGACCAGGTATATATAGATGAATATTTACCTAGAGCAGGGTGACCAGGTGTACATAGATGAATATTTACTTAGAGCATGGAGACCAGGTGTATATAGATGAATATTTACCTAGAGCAGGGTGACCAGGTGTATATAGATGAGTATTTACCTAGAGCAGGGTGACCAGGTGTACATTGATAAATATTTACCTAGAGCAGGGTGACCAGGTGTATATAGATGAATATTTACCTAGAGCAGGGTGACCAGGTGTTCATCGATGAATTAACACTGACAGACATGATATGCTGTCCTGGTTTACAATCCGTCCTATTCTAATACAGAATTATGTAATCTATTAGGAGAAGGCTTTCAAGCAAACAGAAACTTTCATGAATACAAATTGTGCAAAAGAAAGTAAAAACTATGCGGAATTTTGTCAAAAAAAACTATTTTGTGAAAAGTTGCAAAAATGTCTGCATTTTTTTCTACAAGCGGCATGCAAAATTTTTGCAAAAATCTTTCCCCATTTTGCTGGAAACCCAAATAAGAAGTAAAAAATTCCTCTTACTTGCCATATTTATAAACACAACAATCCTAAATATTTTTCTACCATTCCAACTTTTTTTCTATTAAATATTTTAATCTCTAAATTCTGTTTTTTATCAATTTTGATGTAAACTTATGGGAAATCAGATGTTTAGTGGTATATCAGGTGTTTAGTGGGACATCAGGTGTTTAGTGGGACATCAGGTGTTTAGTGGTATATCAGGTGTTTAGTGGGACATCAGGTGTTTAGTGATATATCAAGTTTATACTGGGACATCAGGTGTTTAGTAGGACATCAGGTGCTGAGTGGGACATCATATGTTTAGCAAGACATCAGGTGCTGAGTGGGACATCAGGTGTTTAGTAGGACATCAGGTGCTGAGTGGGACATCAGGTGTTTAGTAGGACATCAGATGTTTAGTGGGACATCTTTGATTGCCTTGTAAGTTTCTCATGTCACTTTTTGTTGTAAAATAATAATTAAAAAGTTAACCTTAGATAAATTAAAGATTTGTGTTCCTTTGTATTTGATGGTGATCTTATTGACAGTCCTGCTGTATTCTTTTTGTGTAAGTATTAAAAACACCAAATTCATCATTCTAGATTGTCCTGTGTTCGTAATATAGAGTCGAGGTTGCGTGACTTTATATCAGTATTTTCAAAGTAAAATACATCATAAGTTTGATTGATAAGTTTGATGACATTTTAGTTAAATTACGTAAATTTTTCTTAAATCTTTATTGCATTTTAATTTTATTCTGTCTATTTATATCTAAATCTAAAACCTATATGTTTTCACGTTTACCAAACTGTTTAGTCGTCTACCTGTTTGCTCATGTCTACCTAACTGTTTATGTCTATCCAACTATTCATGATCATATTCTTTATTTGATCATAGTATACCTGAACATCTTGATCATGTTCAGCTCCTAGTAGATGTCCAAGTTCATGAGCGACAAGTCGACCCATATTCTTGTCGACCCCAGGTCCATCGAACAGCACTTTCGACACAACAGGACAGTCACTGTAAAGAAACTGTTACAAATATTCTGACAGGAGGGAGAGGGACGGGGGGGAGGGGGTGTAAAAAACGTTCAGAATTACCCTTCATCACCATTTTGACTTTAAAACCATTACTATTTGTTTTTGTTTATTTTCTTATTTTAGCATGATGTCGAAGACCTAAATTTAATATTTTTAAAGTGTATGATGAAAAGAAAATAATGAAAAACAAAAATTGGAATTCATAATTATGTTTTTTGTAATTATTAAATAAACAGTACATTTTCTTTTTTCAGGAAGATGTGGTGGAAAAACTCAATACTGCGACAAAATAAGATAAGAACTACAATAATCTTTAGGGGAAAATCACAAAAGCTATTCATTTTTAACGTATTTTTGAAAAATAAAATAAAAGTTATAAAGTTGCAAGGTTTTTTTAGGTAAAAATTGAGAAAAATATTTTATCTGAAAGATATAATATTGAAAAAACATTTTGAATTAAATTTTTTTTCCTTTTTGATTTTGTTGTATTCGTCTGTACGTATATGCTTAAAACTATAGCAAAAGCATCCTTCATAGCTAAAATCTTATTAATAAGATAAATGTAGTTGAAATCTTTATCACCCTAAATTCAATAAAATAATTTTATTATTTAAAGTGTCCGCTTTTGACTTGGATAAGATTTATGTACGGATGGATCGTTTTCACTTGGATAAGATTTATGTACGGAGGGATCGTTTTCACTTGGATAAGATTTATGTACGGAGGGATCGTTTTGACTTGGATAAGATTTATGTACGGATGGATCGTTTTCACTTTTTTGTAAAACAATCGTTCTCTCGATAAATAAAACTTGTTTAAGAAATTGATCATATCGTCGTTTCGTTTTTCATTTTTAAAAAGTTCAAAACGAATTGTTCGTTCATTGTGAACCATCTTTTTTTCTAGAAATGATAAAACCATTTTAAAAAACGAAAAAAACTAGTTTTTTAGAGCGTTTTTTAAAAACGATTTAAAGTTTCCACAATTTTGCAAACTGGTTTACAATACTGGTTTACAATACTGGTTTACAATACTAGTTTACTATACTAGTTTACAATACTGGTTTGCAATACTGGTTTACTATACTGGTTTACAATACTGGTTTACTTTACTGGTTTACAATACTGGTGTACCATACTGGTTTACTATACTGGTTTACGATATCTTTGAAAAATCAAGTTTGAATAATCAAGTTTGAATAATCAAGTTTGAATAATCAAGTTTGAATAATCAAGTTTGAATAAGCTATGTTAGAAGGTTTAAATTCCAACTTTTTATATTTCTGCATCCAATAACATGGTGATATTGGGCAATATAAAGTTCAATACATTTTTTATTAAAAAGATTCAAAAATAAAATTTTATATTATCCAACTATCCAAATAAGAAAAAAATGTATAAGAAAGTTTGAAGCAAAGAATACGGAGTTAAAGAAAGAAAGGAAAGTAAACGAAAACTAAAAACTAAAACTAAAAACTGTGACTGGGGAATAAAAATCCTGGAAATCCACTTTTAACTTTGCATTTTTCTTAAAATTGAATCTATAAAAATCTCTCTGTAAAGTATAAACTTTAAACCATTTTTATGGTTTTCAGATAAGCTCCTTTTTAAGTTTTAGAATTAAGTAAAACACAAGTTTTTCGAATATATAATATACATTATTATTATTCTTAATATTGATTCAACTAAAAATTGTTTTATTGATTAACTTACTAACCTTGAACTTTATAAAATAATTCTATAGAAAATATTAAAAATTTAAATTCAAATTTATTTATTTCTTTTTATAGTTTAGTTAAACTCCAAGGAGTATTTTGTTGAAATTTAACATAAAAGTAATGTGCTGCAATCTTAAATATAACATATTGGAGACTTTGAAAGAATTTTAAAAATGTCATTTTCTAAACCTACTGAAATCAAATGCTACAGATATTTAGTTTAGTAATTGAATAGTTATATGGAAGCTCTTTAAAACTGTCTCCGCATTTTTGATGGCTATTCATTTATATTTACAACTACTAAAATTTAGTAATAGTAAACTCATTGAAGAATAGTCAAGACGACATTTGTTAAATTCTTCTGATGTTTCCTAAGTTCTTGGTTAAACTATATCATAACTTATAAAACAATGATATTTCCTGGGTTATTAAGCACAGTTTTTGACCGGCCAAAATAACGACCTTTATTGGATACAAACAGACAAACAGACAAATTATATCTACATAAACTTTTGCGTATTTGTTGTTAGTCTTAAATATACAAACTTGGAACCTTTTTTTCTTCTAGATGTTTATTAATCTATTTCTTTGTTGATTTTCAATTTTGTTTAGTAAAATTTAAATTTCATTGAATTAATTTCTTGTTGGTAACTTTTTTCTTAAAAAACAGTAAATTTTACTTTCTACAAAACATGGTTGGAAAAACTGTTGCCCCTTACTAGTCGGAAAATTGGGGACATATTACCCCCCCCCCTAAAAAGGTTTTTTACACTTTAATACTAAAAAAAGGAAATAAGAAAAGTGCATTATTTTTAATGATCAATCCTTGTTCTAATTCCCATCTGTTCTTTTATCCAATAAATACTTGAGTAAATATACAGGGTGTCCCAGAAAAATCTGTGCAGGATTAGTTACTGAGTAAACAATTTTCGATAATTTTTACAATCAAGGTGTCACTAAAAAGCTCTTTATTTCAGTTTTTTCATGATGTAAATGCTTTCTTTCTAGGCCTCATACTTTTTTTTGTTACAACCAATTATTTGAGCGGAGGTCGAAAATCGATTTCACGGATTTTTCAAATTTTCGATTTTTCACGTCTCACATTCATTCGTTCATAAAGTATAAAAAATATTAAGATTTTCGAAATTTTTTTTAATCATAAGCTGTTAGTCTGAGGTTTAATTTTTAACTAAAATTTTCTTTTTAAAATCAGTTTGTACAATCCACAGCTCGCTTTTTCACCAACATTTTTTTATCAAACTCACCTAGGCACAGAAATAAAACATTTTTTGTGAACCTGAAATTACAATATCTCATGACGGCGAAAATAAAAAAAACCTTTTCGCGATTATTCGCAAAAAAAATTACGCCAAAATGTTTCGCAATTTTTACGAAAAATGAAAAAATTTAGCTTAACAACATGCTAGAGAAATAAAATTCTCTTCATCAAACATTTATAAAAATAAAGGAAGAGAAATTATTAATATGACATAGTAAAACTTCAAGCAGAGAATTCCACAAGCTTTTTTGCGCAATTATTTGTTGCAGCTATATTTTTTTCCCCCGAGAATATTTTCACAAAATTTTTGCATTTCGCATTTCAGCGAAAAAAATTTCGCGAAATTTCGCATTTTTTCGCTTCATTCATTTTGATGGAAAAATGCAAAATTTTGCAAAACAAAGTTTGCGAAATGCGAACGGAAATTTTCGTATTTTTTTGCAAAACGTTTCGTTCAATGCAAACCCTACTCCTTAGTGTGCCACGCACTCGCAGAGTGCAAAAACATATTTAAAATTGAAAATAAACTATACATTTGTTTTTCAAAATATGTACTTCTTTTGGGATACACTGACATCAAAGCACTCGAAATTCTAAAACTGAAATGGTTGTAATATTGATGAAATGAAAAAAAAATGCTTGCAACAATCATATTTGTATCGATTCGCGAATGTATGCATACGTAGCTAGTCAGTGCAAAGGTTGGAATTGATAATGCTATATGTATTATGTATACATAGAAACTATTTAATAATTAATAACAATACAGATAATACACACTAGATGTAGTAATCTCAAGATTTAGGGGTTTTTCGTTTACAATAACCCTGAGGCAGTAGCCCAAAGTATTTACGCGCATGCTCTTTCTCTGTCTTTTCATTCAACGCAGCTTGTGCATCCTTTTGGCTTCTGCCTCAGGGTTATTGTGAACGGAAAACTACTAAATATTGAAAAAAAACGACATCTAGTGTTCTATCTGTTTTGTTATTAATCTATGATTCTTCTACACAAGTTATTATTAGAATATATCAATCTAGACAACTTATACCCATGAAACTTGTGTTAGGGGAGAGGGTAGGGGGTAAGAGAAAAGATGAAGAAAAGAAAATAAAAAGTAGGGGGAAAAGTAAGAGGAAAGAAAAGAGAAAGATGGAAAAGAAAAAGACGAAAAAAGAAGAAATGGAAGGAGAAAGAATGGAAGGAAAAACAATGGAAGAAGAAAGAATAGAAAAAGAAAGAATGGAAGTAGAAAGTATAGAAGGAGAAACAATAGAAGGAAAAAGAATGGAAGGAGAAAGAATGGAAGTAGAAAGTATAGAAGGAGAAACAATAGAGGGAGAAACAATGGAAGGAGAAAGAATAGAAAAAAGAAAGAATGGAAAAAGAAAGAATAGAAGAAGAAAGAATAGAAGGAGAAAGAATAGAAAAAGCAAGAATGGAAGTAGAAAGTATAGAAGAAGAAAGAATAGAAGAAGAAAGAATAGAAGAAGAAAGAATAGAAAAAGAAAGAATGGAAGGAGAAAGAATAGAAGAAGAAAGAATGGAAGGAGAAAGTATAGAAGAAGAAAGAATAGAAGAAGAAAGAATAGAAGAAGAAAGAATAGAAGAAGAAAGAATGGAAGGAGAAAGAATGGAAGGAGAAAGAATAGAAGAAGAAAGAATGGAAGGAGAAACAAAAGAAGAAGAAATAATAGAAGAAGAAAGAGTGATAGAAGAAAAAATAGTAGAAGAAAGAATGAAAGAAGAAAGAATAGAAGGAGAAAAAATGGAGGGAGAAAGAATAGAAGAAGAAAGAATGGAAGGAGAAAGAATGGAAAAAGAAACAATAGAAGAAGAAAGAATGGAAGAAATAGAAAGAAAAAACGAAAAACGAAAAAAAAAGAATGGAAATAGTAAGAACGAGTGGAAGGAGAAAGAAAGAATGTAAAGAGAAAAAAGAGTGGAAAGAGGATTAAAGTGGGGACAGGATGGAGAAAGAATGGAAGGACAAAGAAAGCCAATTAAACAATTAGATTGGCAGATTTCATTTTTGAATTCAAAGTAAGACGAAATTTTCTGTATGTAATACAGTATCTATTATTCAAGGCCAGGGAGGGGGCTCCACAATAAATACTTTCAAAAGTAAAGAGCAATTCAAACCCCCATTAAGAGATATAAAGGAAATATATTAGGAAAGATTAAAAGTTAGAACTTGTTCATCCTGTAAGAAATTACATTAGACCAGGGATGAAAGACGGAATGTTAAGCAAACTCTTCACTGTTTCTTTTTTAATGTTTTCCAGTTTCAGAACTCAGAAAAGATTGAGCCAAAAGAAATTTAAACTGAAAAAGAAGGAGTTTAATAAAGTTCCTTTTATTTCATTTTATTTTCCTGTTTTCAAAACACAAATTTTCCGGAAGAGCTATTGATTGATCGAAAAAAAGAAACTTTGAAATCCTTATTTTTTCTACAAAACAAGTTTTTGCACTAATATTTGTTTTCTTTGTGTTTAAAGTCTAACTGAGCCGGCCATCTTGTAAAAGTTGAAAACAGTGTTACAACTTCGTAATTTGTCAATTTGTTGCCAATTTCTCAGTCAGTTTGCAATTTAAAGAATTTGCACTTTTTATATTGGCATGTCTACAGAAATCAATAGTTAGATATGTTGTTGGGATTTTATGGATAGATTTTTGTACAATCGAATCTGACAGATTTACCAGATAAAGTTCTAATCTTACAGTCTAGATAAATCAAGAAAAAACTTAAGTCAAATATATTTTTTTAACTAAAAATTATCCATTTTTAAAATAAGAAAGATGTGAATGTTTAAATTTAAGTTTTTGGTTTAAAAGATAAAGCCCAAGCAATATGAACTGGGGTATAGCACAAACCATATCAAAATTGTAATACTTTTATTTCCATCCAATGTATCTGCGAAGATAACTCGATATAAACCGTTTTCTACAGCAAAGTGAATAAATACTAAAGTGGAACAGACTAAAGTAACGACGACAAGTTGGGCCATAAGGTTTTATTTGGTTTGGAAATAATTGCATGAAAAGATTTCTTTTGGAAAGTAACGACTAGAAAAAATAGACTAAAGACCCATGTAAATGTCGTCTTCAATTAGAACTTTAGAAATTAAAATCAATAATTTTTAAATACTTGGGACATAAAATGTCGTCATCCAACTTTAGTATTTAATCACTTTGTTTCTACAGACCCATAAATGCATGCAATGGAAATGGTTGACAGTGAAGTCAGATTTCATTAATAAAAACCTAGGTGTGGTTAGTTGAACTACATACATTTCAAGAAATCAGTTGTCCAATTCGTTTTGCGATCTCTGAGAGACGTTGTCTAACAAGTTTTCAAAAAATCAGATAAGAATAAAAGTATAAAACAGTTTTATGCCTGAAAATGGTTTACATTTTACCTTTTCTCATTTAATTTTGAACTTTTAAAAATATTTTTACTTTTTTTCGGAATAAAAAGTTTGATAGCTATTTAATGATATCTTTAGCTTTCCATACTATGGTGTTTTTTTCTAAAAAGTTTAAAATCGTATAACCTTTTTTTTAGATACACATTACACACTTTTATCTTACATAGCTATGAAAAAAAGACAACCCTTAAATCGTCTCTCAACTGTAATGGTGGGACACCCTGTATAATGTTGTTATATTTTATTCTCTATATCTGCTAGTATGGAGTTCTCTTGTTGCAATATGAACAAGCTTGAAAGTTATTCACTGAAATCAAAACTTAAAATTTTCAACTATTTATTTCTTCTTCTTAAATTCAGAGGTGAATTCCTTTGCAATCTTTACAAACTGTTTTGTCCATATAATCCGCTAGCAATTACAAAGAAATTGAGTCTTTGCAACAAACTCTGATTTTCTAATCCCTTTATCTTTGCAAGCCAATGTTGTAGACCTTAGATATTTCAATCTATGAATTCTATTATATCAAATAATCTAAGTTTGAAATATGCAAGTTATATATAGTCAGGTTGCAAAGATATAGGGATTAGAAAATTAGAGTTGGTAACAAAAACTCAATTCCTTTGATATTCAGATCGTAGACTTTGAATCAAATTTTTGAGGATTTGATGTTGTTATGTAATAAATATCGCATATATCTGTAAACCTGAACTACGTTGTACATTATTAATTATATTGACTGCGCTGTAAATAACTACGTAGCATGATTTGGCTTAACTACACTGAATATAAATACGTAAACCTGTGATCGATCACGTTTGTATTTAATGGCGTAGTACTTGTTATTACGTCGATTCACTTAACTTGTTTCATATAACCCAAAATACATTTAGTTGCGATAATACTCCGCTTTGATTACAGTGTGAGAGATATTCTTTTTTGGTTAACAAAGAGAAGTGTCCTATATCACTGTCTTGAAGGATAGATATAGATTGGGATTAAATTGATTGTATCTGTGGGACAGACACTTGAGACAGGGACTGAGCCGTATCCGGATTGATATTGGCTGTGTTATTCATGTGAATCTTGAGTTCTTGATTTAGTTATGTCTGTGGGACAGACACTTGAGACAGGGACTGAGCCGTTTCCGGATTGATATTGGCTGTGGTATTCATGTGAATCTTGAGTTCTTGATTTAGTTATGTCTGTGTGACAGATACTTGAGACTGGGACTGAGCCGTTTCCGGATAGATATTGACTATAGGTATTCCTGTGAATCTTGAGTTCCTGATTTAGTTATATCTGTGGGACAGATACCTGAGAATACAGACTGAGCCGTATCCGGATTGATATTGGCTGTGGTATTCATGTGAATCTTGAGTTCTTGATTTAGTTATGTCTGTGGGACAGATACCTTAGAATACAGACTAAGCCGTTTCCGGATTGATATTTGCTATGATATTCGTGTGAACCTTGAGTTCCTGATTGAGTTGTACCTGGATTGAAACGGGTCTAAAACAGCAGGGCATTTACTACAGTGATAAAGCGCGTATTTTTACCAGAAGTTTTATAATCAATTTATTTAGTAAAATGGGTCTGAGTTCCCCGCACAATAATTAATTTAATTAATTTTAAATGTATTCTATTTGTAATAAATATCGTAGTAAGCCCCATATTTATATTACGTTGTATAAGTGTAACCTAACTACGCTTGTTAATAACTACATAAAACCATATATTTGTATCTTCACACTGCGTGTTAAGATTAGATTGTACCCTATTACGTTGGTTAATTTCTGAGGAGACATATCTATCCATATCATGGCCATGTATTACAATTTACTTTAATTACGTTCATTAATTTAATATCAAGAAAATAAAGTCAGATGAACAAGATCCTTTGTCTCGTTTAAGAGAACAGAGTGTCAGCTCGAGTATATTTTGAAAGATAGATACAGTATTGAGGAATCTCCTGTTCGAGATGAGTTGTATCTCTACGATACAGTATTGAGGAATCTCCAGTTCAAGATTGAGTTCTATCTGTACTATACAGTATTGAGGAATCTACAGTTCAAGATTGAGTTCTATCTGTACAATACAGTATTGAGGAATCTCCAGTTCAAGATTGAGTTCTATCTGTACGATACAGTATTGAGGAATCTACAGTTCAAAATTGAGTTGTATCTGTACAATACAGTATTGAGGAATCTCCAGTTCAAGCTTGAGTTCTATCTGTACGATACAGTATTGAGGAATCTCCAGTTCAAGATTGAGTTCTATCTGTACGATACAGTATTGAGGAATCTACAGTTCAAGATTGAGTTCTATCTGTATTATACAGTATTGAGGAATCTACAGTTGAAGATTGAGTTCTATCTGTACGATACATATTGAGTTATACAAGAGCGTTTATCTGGATTGATACAGACTGAGTATTATAGCTGAGAGTCAGCACGAGTTGTACCTGTACGATACAGACTTAAGAGAACTTATTGCAGTTAGGCTTTTGCTACATATTTATAATCGCCGAATAATTGCATCTTTTTATTCCATTGTTTTATGAGTATCATTGTATTTAAATGTAGTGAGTGAAGATGTCGAGCAACCCTGTATAAAATGAAGCTTGCAAACTTATATCAAAAGCAATGTAATATGTATGCAGAATTATTGCAAGAATTCTGCATGGAATATGACTTAATTTAAACTATAGCTGTCTTTTAATATAAATGGAATGCATTTTAAATAAATAAAATACAAAATACAAAAACATTCAATTTGTTAAATCACATTCACAAAAAAAGAATTAAGTTTTTGCCTATACTTAGATGTTTTAATCCCTTTGCAACCTGACGGTGTAGACCTATAATATTTCAAACTTAGACTATTTGTTCTAATAGAAATTTTAGTTCAAAATTTCAAAGGTCTACGCAATCATGCTACAAAGATGTAGGCACTAAAAATTAAAGTTTGTGGCAAAAACTCAATTCCTTTGAGTTGACTCTTTCTCTAAAATTTAGCTTTTTCTATTGAGCATCTTACTCTATATTTCTGATCTACATGATAAACCTCTTTGCTCACATAAATATATATATATATGTATATATATTTATATTTATATGTTTAAAGCTATGGCCGCCAAAACGGCTGAAAAAAATTGGCAGACCTTTTTTTTTATAAAATTCGATTAACGGGTTGAAATTGGTTTTTGAGAGAATAAAATAAATCTNCCCCCCCTTCGTGTTTAACTGATCGTCAGATTTGTTGGTCCAAAAAATTGTAGACAGTTATTTTTTATGTCAAAATTATCTTTGGTGAAGCATATTAACCAGAGTTGGAAATTAATAAACGTAGTTGAACTAGTTATTTAAGCCGCAAAGATATGATTAAACCAGCGCAGGATAGTTTAACTCTCCGTTAATAGTTCAACTACTTCTCATCTCTCAGACAGACCACAGTATATCATCTACATTTATATCTATATATATATTGTTTGTCTGTCTAAACTTTGCTTGTCTGTTAGTCTGTTTGTTTGTAACCAATAAACGTGAAAACGGCTGAACCGGTCAACCCCAATTTTTTGTGTGACCATGATAACCCCAGGAAGATTTATGAATGGTCAAAATATAAAGAATTTGATTTAATTTTATTTTGATTTTTCAAAATCTACGAAAAAAATGCTAAATTCGCAAACATTTTTTTAATATTGCTTGATAATTTAGAAGAGAAAATGCAACAATAAAAAAGTTAAAATTAAAGATAAGCGTTAAGCGCCCTGAAATGAAAGCCAAGTTATATCTGTAAATCCACTTATTTAACTGTTTGGTTTGATTCTATGTATATATGTAACGTTGTAATCTCTGTTTGTTTGGATATCCGATAACAACTTAGGAACACCTTGATCGATTAGCCTCAAATTTTGATTAGGGAACTCGGCAGATCCACGGGAATGTTCTTGGTTTAATTTTGAGATTTAAGTTGAGTGGGTTAACTTTTACAGGGGAAAATGGCTAACATCGTAATTTAAGACCAAGCGCGGGTGACTATGAGTACTCTAGGCAACGCTGGGTTTTAAAGCTGGTTAAACAAAAATTTTTCGATCTTTATTCTTTTTGTTGACGGAGCGTATTAGCTTTAAAAAGTACAAAACAAATCTAAAAATCGTTGAATTATAAACCAAACCAAAATTAAAGTTATAAAACCCAAACACATCTAGTCCTGGGTAGTTAGTTCATGGTACCCAGGACCGGAGCGGTAAAAATTGTTCGTGGAGCGGGGGGGGGGAGGCTGAGTTTTGATAACTTTCTTGACAGTTTTAATTTTATTGAAGTGAAAACTTATTATACAATCTAGCTCAACAATTAATTAGAAAAGAATTTCTGAGTTGAAGGAAGAAATAGTAAATTAGTTTTTGAAAGAAAACATAATTTCTTCTTTCGAGAGAAACCCTTGGAAATAGTTCAACTCAAATCCTTTCATGAAAACTCTTTTCCAACAACAAGCTGGACTAAGAAAATACACTTAATAAAATTATAAATTAATATTTATAAATTCCATTGTTTTATGAGTATCATTGTATTTAAATGTAGTGAGTGAAGATGTCGAGCAACCCTGTATAAAATGAAGCTTGCAAACTTATATCAAAAGCAATGTAATATGTATGCAGAATTATTGCAAGAATTCTGCATGGAATATGACTTAATTTAAACTATAGCTGTCTTTTAATATAAATGGANAGATAGGAACATCAGATAAAACTTTCATGGGTCGCGATCGAGAGCTAAAGTGATTAGCTTTCAGTCTATACCCCCTTTCATTTTTCCTTTACTGTCCTTTTAATGCTGTGCACTTTTTTGGACTTTTAAAAGATTTTACAAAATTTTGAGAAGTTTTACAAATTTCAAAATTTTCTTTTCTAAACATTTGCTTTTCTCACACTATATCTACATATCACACTATATCACATTTTTAACCCATATTTGCTTTAACGAACTCAAAAACAAAACAAAATAAGTTGTTTAGTCTGTTCATAATAGTTACTATTTTTATGTTGAAATAAGTAAATAATCACTTTAATTGATCTCACCATCTCCATCCGTATAATTAGTATTTCCTGTAAAGAGAATCACCCCGTCATAGCTGTGCTGGTCAGCGTCCCAGTGCTGATTGATAATCTGAAATAGATCAGTGCTTATTTAAAATCTGAAATAGATCAGTGCTGATTTAAAATCTGAAAAAGATCAGTGCTGATTAAAAATCTGAAATAGATCAGTGCTTATTTAAAATCTAAAAAGATAAGTGCTGATTTGATAATCTGAAATAGATCAGTGCTGATTAGTAATTTTAAATAGATTAGTGTTGATTAATAATCTGAACTAGATCAGTGCTTATTAATAGTCTTTAATAGATTAGTACTGATAAGCATTTTATTACTGATTAATAATTTTAAATAGATTAGTGTTGATTAATAATCTGAAATAAATCAGTGCTGATTTGATAATCTGAAATAGATCAGTTCTGATTAGTAATTTTAAATAGATCAGTGTTGATTAATAATCTGAAATAGATCAGTGCTGATTTGATAATCTGAAATAGATCAGTGCTGATTTGATAATCTGAAATAGATCAGTGCTGATTAGTAATTTAAAATAGATCAGTGTTGATTAATAATCTGAAATAGATCAGTGTTGATTTTATAATCTGAAATATATAAGTTCTGATTAGCATCCCACTGCTGATTAGCATTCCACTGCTGATTAGCATCCCACTGCTGATTAGCATTCCACTGCTGATTAGCATCCCAGAGCTGAATAATAATCTGAAATAGATTAATGCTGTTTAGGGTCCCGGTCTTGATAAATAATCTTGCACAAGAAGCAAGGGAGAAATGAACAGAATTATACATTTTTTAATGTGAAAAATAATCCTCTACATTAATGATCATTTTAAGGTTTCTAGGGTACCGTTTTAAATTAGGCATGCCTCTCATTTTTTTAAATGGAGGGTCACTTGAAATTACAAGTACAGTCCCTGTAAAGAACTCTTGAACAGGCTTTTCAATTCATTTAAAACAGTTAAAAGCATCACAAGGAAAATTTAAGACCATTTTGTTTACAGCTGGCTCGGTTATTAATTAAATATACTATTCTAATTTGTTTTAATTTCAAGACCATGCTAGATTTCTTTTAATTTTAACAGAATTGTTGGATAAAGATTATTTCTGAAAGTCATCCGAGTTGGGCACTATTTAGTAGATATCTAGCTAGATAGATAAATAGTTAAATAGCTAGTTTTATAGATTGATATTTAGATAAATAACTGGGGAAAAAATATTAAAGTGAATACAAAATAGCTAGATAGATTATACATGAGTAGACAGGTAGATGGATATAGATAGATTAATAGGTAGATGCTTAGATCGATAAATGCAAATTTAAATGGTGGATTGAAAGAAAGATAGATGGAAAAAAAGATAGATGGATAGATGTATAGATGGATAAATGTAAAGATGGATAAATAGACAGATATGGAAAATAGGATAAAGAGCTGGATATATAGCTGGATATATAGCTCGATATATAGCTGGATATATAGCTCGATATATAGCTGGATATATAGCTCGATATATAGCTGGATATATAGCTGGATATATAGCTGGATATTGCTGGATATATAGCTTGATATAAAGCTGGATATATAGCTGGATATATAGCTGGATATATAGCTGGATATAGCTGGATATAAAGCTGGATATAACTGGATATATAGTTTGATATAAAGCTGCATATATTCCTGGATATAAAGCTTAATATAAAGCTTGATATATAGCTGGATATATAGTGAATATATAGCTGGATATGTAGCTGAATACATAACTTGATCTATATCTGGATAAATATTGGTAAATGTTAGAATAAATAGATGTCAGTTGCCTAGATACAAAATGCAAATATATTTTCTGTAAAAATCCAAAAAAAGAAATAAATGGATGAAATGATAGAAAGATAAGAAAGAATAGATAGATAGATGATAGATAAATAGATAGATAGATAGATAGATAAATAGATAGATAGATAAAAAGATAGATATATAGATAGATATATAGATAGGTAGATAGAAAGTTAGACAGATAGAACGATTACCTTTAAGTAGTTTCCTAAATCATGCAGAACGGATAAAAGAAGATTTCTTTTAGACATTTTCCCCAGCTCGCCCCAAACCTGCAGAAACAATAAAAATAGCAAATTAAGAGAGTGTTCATTAAACCCTGCAGATACAGGGTGTAACAAAAAAAAATAGCAACTAAAGAGAGTGTTCATCAAAAATCTGCAAATACAGGGTGTAACAATCAAAATAGCATCGAAAGGGAGTGTTTAATAAAAACCTGAAAATACAGGGTGTAACAATAAAATAGCAACAAAAGAGAGTGGGGTCCGTCCTAGAGAACGATAGGCCGATTGAAGAGCAACGGTTAACAGCTGAAATTGGAAAAATATCCATTCATTTTATTTTGACCAAAAAATGGCTTATACACATCTTACATGGTGTACCAATTTATTGGGAATTGATTTAAATTTCATATCTTTGTTTTTTGTTAGAATATGGAGACAATCGAACAATTTTTTTTCTTTCATATGCTATCAGCTTATTATTCTAATACAAAAAGTGAATAGATATGAAAAGAAGCAGTCAATTTGTTTTAAAAGACGTTTTATATCTGACCTACACGCATGAAGCAATATGTTTTAAAAGTAAACACAATATTGTTCAATTTTCCTCTTCAGAAAGTTGAATTTGAAAAATATATCTATCAGGACATTTCTATAACGAACTGAGAGTAATCTGATTCAAAAACAATTTTCTTCTGATTTGTTTGATAGAAGAAGAGGATGGAGTTGTCTAATAGTTTCTTAAAAATAGGATTTTTAGATTTTTTATCAGCTTTTAGGTTTATAGATAAAAAAAACTATTTAAAAGAAGTCTGAACCAACCAATAATTTCCAAAGATTTACTAATTTCTATAGTTTGCACACAAGTATATGTAATTGTAATGGATTTGCCCAGAGTTGACCATACATCTTCAGAAATGAAGACACACCACACTCCTATCTACCATGAGGAAAACATCAAAATAATTTTGTCTTTGCCACAAATGCTGATTTTCTTATTCCTGTCTATCCTATCTTTGCAACCAAATGTTAAATAAATATTCAAATTTTGAAATCTCGCTGCCATGAAATAGGGATTTGAAAATTTGATTTTGTGACCAAAACTAATTTATGCTTAATTTCTTTGACAGCTCTGTGACCCTATAGCTCCTCTAGTTTTGATTCTACGCCGAATTTATTCGGTTGCACAGTCGAAAATCAAAGCTTTTTTCTTCTCAATAGGTTTTTAGTAAAGGAATTAAACAGCAAGAAGGATTTTAATGAAAAACAACACCTTTTGAATTTACCGTGCACAGAAATCTTTGGAACATTCCGATGAAAAGATTTCTCGAGCACAATACTACAACAAGGCTGAATCAATCCTTGGAAAGGAAAACTAGAAATTCTAAGAATGAGTAAAATTACCTTTAGAACTCTGACTCCATTGATGTTTATTTTAAATCCTCCGTGGCGGGATATTGTCTGAAACATGTACAGTAAAACATGAGGTGACTTTAGGTTTAAGGTTTGAAGGACAGGAAATAGAACGCAAATTGTTTGCTATAAAATTAAATAGTGTGACAGGATTTTGCCCCTCCCCCTCAAGAGATTAAAATTAGATAAAAGGAAATTTGTAAGTAAAATATATAGCTAAAACAGATTAAAAATTAAAAAACCAAAGGCAATTGGTGGAAATTATCTGATTTTGTTTTGGCCATAATTCAATATTTAATAACTTCATGCTCAAAAATGGTCCCTATTATTAGTATTTAAGGCAATTTTTAAAATAAGTTTGATGTTATATAATATTGTTTACCGGATGTAAAAGAAACGTTTCTGCAGCTTTCATTAATTCATGAATCAATCTAAAAACATAATTAAAAACGCGTATAAAATGAAAACAAAATCAAACTACAATTTTTCAAAAATACATTTATAAACTATATCTTGTAAATTTCTTTAAGTTCTAGTAATTTTTGATTTGGATACACTACTTTTGATATTTGGTTTGGAGTTTACCTGTGCAATTCTTGTAATATTTGGTTTGGAGTTTACCTGTACACTTCTTGTAATATTTGGTTTGGAGTTTACCTGTACACTTCTTGTAATATTTGGTTTGGAGTTTACCTGTACACTTCTGTTATAACATCTTTATCTTTCCCTTTTCCATGGAGCATTCTTGCCTAAATATATTTTTTTTCAAAAATCTTTAACTCAAAATAAAAAAAATTATTATAAAAATTACTAGCTGAAGTGCCCGGCGTTACCCGTGGAATTTCAGAAACATTTTTTTTTAAATTTTAACGTCAAGTTAAAGTAAATACATAGATTTAAGATTATTGCCAAGATTAAGAAGAAGTTTACCTTGACCTCCATAAAGATACTCGGATCCGTGATGACCGCTAGCTCTATTGTTCTACTTGAATACCTGGACACTTAGCGTTTTCAAGTAGAGGGGTCAAGTTTATCAATTAATCAATAGTTTAAAGTAGATGGGTCTATTTAATCAATTATTAAACATGTTTATTAAAAATTAAACTTTGCAAGGGTTTAAAGATTTGACAGGGAACGACTGAAACCTGGTAATTTCTGTATGACCTCTGGGGAAAAAAGTCAGAGGCGGTTTAAAATATTTTTTTTAAACCAAGGGGGGTTCCCACTGCCCCCCCCCATAATCCACCACTTTTAAATTAGAAAAAAAGTTAAGTTAGGTTGGGTTGCAAACTTTCTAACTTTTAAAACATTATTAACTTTTTAGCAAAAGTAAATTTAGAAGAAAAACAACTCTGTAGGAGAATAAACAAATGAAAAACAACCATTTTTTAAAGTTGAAGAATATTGCGGTTTTCAACTACTTTGAATTTCCTTACTGGAGACTTCTTGCCATTCTAGACAGAAAAATAAACAAAATAAACAAAATAAACGAAATAAACAAAATGAACAAAATAAACAAAATAAACAAAATAAACAAAATAAACAAAATAAACAAAATAAACAAATAAACAAAATAAACAAAATAAACAAAATAAACAAATAATTAAAGGGAAAGAAGACAAAACTTCCAGTGTATCTCAATCTAACATTCACATTCCCGAATCACAACGGTACTCTTAAAGGGACTGTTTACTTATTTAGGTAATTTGAGGGTAAACTAACTTACTTTTCAGAGACACTGTGGCCTGAGAAAAATCCGATTTATGATTAAGAATTTCAGCACGAAGGTTGTTACCCTTGCATAGACACTATTTGATGCTTTTTGAAATTGTAGTATCTAATAGTTAATTGTAGATATTATAGGAGGACGTGGGTCAGACTCTAAAAAAAAACGCATAAATAACTTCCAGTATATATATTTCTTATAACTTATTACTAGAGGGTTCAGAACATGAGTCTATCTCGATATCAAACGTGTAGACTGTCCGTCAGTACAATGCCCCGTATCCATTCTATCTCATTCCGTTGAAACTTGTGGAACTTGTTTAAGGCGGCCAGGCATCGTCTTCCACATTACCCCCCACCCAGCGGAGAGGCCGGAGGATGAAGTCGAAGGCTGAAGGCGGAGAATGAAGACGGAGGCTAGCGATAAAAACTCTTTTAACATTGAAGCCTTGGCCTGGGTGTAAAATATTTGGTTTTAGGTTAAAAGTTACTCTTTTTCTCTTTGGCGGAGCAACGGCCTAGGCTTCTGCAACAGCTTTCCGAGGTCGTCCTCTACGTCTAGGGGGATCAGGAGGAACCGGAGGAGGTTGGCGTGGGGGTCTGCCCGGGCGTGGAGGTTCTACTGGAGCCTCATCATCTGCTGTGAAAGCTGGTTTGAGGCGT